GTTTTGCTAAGGTAGCGTCGCTCTGTGAGCACGCCTCAATGCTACATTCGAGTTATCATCATCATTATCATCAGCCTGACTACGTCCACTGCAGGACAAAGGCCTCTCCCATGTTCCGCCAGTTAACCCGGTCCTGTGCTTGCTGCTGCCAATTTATACCCGCTGTTATGGCGTTTATTAGCCGGCACACAGCGAGTCTACACAATGTCGACAGTAACAGTCAAGCACGGACTCTCCGCGCGAACGGCGTTCTTTTTGGGCAGACCCACTAGAAAGCACTTGAGAGTTCGACCCATATCAGTGTTCGGCGGCTTCTCCACAATTACCCAGGGGTCGAAGAGGGAGCCGCCTGGCGACCTAACAGCTTGTCACTACGAGCGGGTCATAGTAAACCTTCAGGCGCTCCACGTTGACTATGTCGCGCCCGCGGCGGCGCATGTCCGAAGATTGTTCAATATGCTCGATAAGATAGTTGACCGGAGATGTGCGCTCGATCACGCGGTAGGGACCTTCATATTTCGGGAGCAGTTTGGAAGAAAGGCCAGCTACAGAGGTCGGGATTGAGAGCCATCAAGCGCACCAGGAAGGAACGTGGGCTCAGAAGTGGCGGAGCCATCACGAATACTCTTCTGCCGCTCTTGCTCATGCGTCGTAAAAGTATTCGCAAGCTCGCGACACAATTCAGCAAGCCTGGTGGTGTCGGAAATAGGTGTACACTCAGATGTATCCGGCGTGTACGGGTGTATCGTGTCGATGGTGTGTGACAGGTGCCTTCCGTACAGCAAAAAGAAAGGTGAAAAACCAGTCGTGCTTTGAGGGGCGGTGTTCTAGGCGTAGGTGACGAAGGGCAGTATGGTATCCCAATTCGTTTGGTTGGTGGTGACGTACATCGGCAGCATGTCGCGGAGGGTGCGGTTAAAGCGTTCGGTCAGGCCATTCATCTGCGGGTGGTAAGCAGTAGTTTTGCGGTGGACAGAATGGCACTCAGTGAGAATGGCGTCGACGACTTCTGACAAGAAGACACGGCTGCGATCGCTGAGAAGCTCCTGGCGTGAACCGTGGCGCAGTATAAATCGATGTAGTAGGAAGGACGCAACATCACGCGCAGTAGCCGCAGGGAGAGTGGCGGTTTTGGCGTATCACGTTAAATGAGCTACAGTGACGATGGCCCAGCGGTTGCCAGTGGACGTCAGAGGGAGTGGTCCATACAAATCGATACCTATGTGCCCAAACGGACGGTCAGAGCAAGGTGACGGTTGCAGACCGGCTGGTGACATGTGTGCGGATGGTTTGCGGCATTGGCAAGCGAGACAGGAGCGAACGAACTGCTGGACGTAGCGGTACATCCCGCGCCAGAAGTAGCGTTGTCTAATGCGACGGTAGGTTTTGAATACTCCAGAGTGCGCAGACTGTGGATCAGAATGGAAGGATTCACGTATCTCCGACCACAGACTGCGGGGTATCCCGAGTAGCCACTGCCGGTCATCGGCGTCGTAATTACGCCGGTCACGTAGCCCGTTATTGCTCTCGACTACAGCCGGCTCCCATTTCTTCTCCTGTTGCTGGCCACCTTAGCCGTTCGTATAACGACGAACTGCCGTCTGTGCCACTGTCGTCTCGCCCAGGTCCATCTGCTCGAAGGTCGCCGTCTCCACGACGTCGGTCTCTGTCCCCCATGCGGCAAAGTTCTGCTCATGAGCGGGAAAACTAGCCGTCGCAGTTCCAGAGGCAAAGACTGCGACGCTATCGCATTGTGAAAGCCCTCAGAGCCGCCCATCTAATGTCATTGACGTGCTTGTGGACGGTGTTCATGCATCTGCTCTTATTGACACTGGAGCTGCGGTATCAGTTATAAGCGAAAACCTTTGCCGCTTGCTTCGAAAAGTGACGACCCCGATTTCTGGACTGTCCCTTCGTACCGCTAGCTCACATCGTATTAATCCTACAGCAGGCTGCACAGCTCGCGTTGTCGTTGAGGACGTTCTGTATGTCGCCCAATTCATCGTCATTCCTGCATGCTCTCATGACGTCATCCTTGGATGGGATTTTCTCTCCCGCAACGACGCTGTCATTCATTGTGCTGCCGCCGAAATTGAACTCTCGCCCTTCTCGCATTTGACGCCAGAAGATGGTCCCTCGACACTGAGCAAGATTCTTGTGAAAGACGATACTATAGTGCCTCCAAGCTCGACGATGGCTGTATCGGTCTACTTGCCGGTCTCTCCTACACAATTGCACTCGTTTCGCCATCCGACCATGCTTCCAGAAGGAAAAGGTTGCTAGTACCTTTCGCGACCGTGCAAATCACCCAGGCCAACGCCGCTATTTTCGTGACCAACCCATCCCCGTACACTGTTACATTGGTTCGAGGGAAATGTCTCGGCAGAGTGGAACCAGTCAACGACGCACAAGTCCTGGGCGTACCCGAAGACTCCCGTTGTCCTCATTCACGTATCATCAGTGCTGTGTCTACTTCTGACCCATCGTCTTCTGATGTATTTGGCCCATACATTGACGACAACCTTACGTCAGTACAGCGTTCCCAGCTTCTAGACCTGTTGCAAGAATACCGTTCTTCTTTCGATGTCGGGCGAAGTTCTCTCGTTCGCGCGTCCACTGTAACGCATCGTATCGACACTGGTGCCCATCCACCATTACGGCAACGTCCATACCGCGTGTCGCCTGCTGAACGCCGGGAAATTAACGAGCAAGTTGACGATATGCTCCGACGCGACGTCATTCGGCCCTCGGACAGTACATGGGCGTCTCCCATTGTTCTTGTTGCGAAGAAAGATGGTTCTGTGCGGTTCTGTGTGGACTACAGATGGCTCAATAAGATCACTCACAAGGATGTCTACCCACTACCGCGTATCGACGATGCAAATGACAGCCTTCACGGAGCCCAATTTTTTTCTTCTCTCAATCTGCGCTCGGGGTACTGGCAAGTACCCCTGGCTGATGACGCTCGACCGAAGACTGCCTTCATCACACCCGACGGCTTGTACGAATTCAACGTCATGCCGTTTGGTCTGTGTAATGCACCTGCGACATTTGAGCGCATGGTGGACACCGTTCTGCGCAACTTGAAATGGCACACGCGTGCTTGTGTTACCTCGATGACGTTGTTGTCTTCGCTGCAGAATTCTCGACCCATTTCAGTGTTCGGCGGCTTCTCCACACCGCAAACTTCTTAATCTCATCGGCCCACCTAACCTTCCGTGTCCCCCTAACCCACTTGCCTTCTCTGGGAATCCAGTTAATTACCTTTAACGACCAGCGGTTATCCTGTCTACGCGTTACATGCCCGGTCCATGTCCATTTCTTCTTCTTGATTTCAGCTATGGTATCTTTAACTCCGGTTTGTTCCCTAATCCACTCTGCTCTCTTTTTGTCTCTTAAGGTTACACCTACCATTTTTCTTTCCATTGCTCGCTGCGTCGTCCTCAATTTGAGCTGAAACCTCTTTGTTAGTCTCCAGGTTTCTGCTCCATAGCTAAGTACCAGCAAGTTACAGCTCTTATATACCTTTCTCTTGAGGGATAGTGAGTAATAGTGTTATATACCTTTCTCATGATGTGCTCGCGGCCGTTTTGATAGCTCTACATATACCAATTTTGGTGTTAAGTGACGTCAATGGATGAGAAAAGATATTCCTGGTGCAAAATGATAATCTTGACACGCGTGTCATGTAAGAACATGACAATATACTGCGCTAATAGCGTGCTCGTGGTAATTTCGCTAGCTCCAGATATACTAAATTTGGTATCCCGTGACGTGAATCGGTATCACGTGAGGTAAACGACACATTAAAACATGATAATCATGACACGGAAGTCATGTTCGGCATCATTCACCTCCACCTCGTAACGTTGTGCTAATTTTAGGAGGACATATCCGCCTTTCTCATTCGTGCTTCGCATATAATCGATTTCCACTGTGCGTGGGATCTGCCAATTCTTTATTCTATGGTTCTCACCGGCTATAGTGGCTATTGTTTTGCGTTCTTTCGTCCTGCAAGTGTATTTGAAAAATCAGAATAATCTGCCATGTCTGGTGTTCGCAGAACCACGTGCACCCAGCCATTTCCGCGTCCGCTGTTAAGGCTTTTACTTCCTGCCCTCCTTTTCCTTCCTGACAAAGTCACGCACAAAGCCTTGCGGTGATCTGTGGTAGAATCGGTAGAACTGCCCCAATGCTCAGCTTGAAAAATCACAGCATATCCATGACCTGAATGATGATAAGTGGGGCGAAGTGTCCGTCAGTACGGCCGCACTTGCGTCCGTCCGTTCGTTCTTGCTTCCGTCCGTGCGTCTATCCATCCGTCCATCCGCCCATGCGTCTATCCATCCGTCGATCCATGCATCGGTGTGTGCTTTCGTCCATTCATTCGTGCATATGTCCGTCCGTGCAACTGCCTGTCTGTCCATCTGTCAATCCGTGCATCCGTGCCTTTGTCCACCCGTCCGTCATTTCAGTTCTCGCTCGGTATTGGTACACGCAAAACATTTTGCGTACAATGGTGTGCCGGAAAAACTCAAAGCATTTGTCTATATTCAAGAGACGCCACACTGCGGCGTGCTGAACTATACAGTGACTGTCGAAAGAGGCAGCTAAAGTGACCGCTCCAGCCAGTATACGATATGGCCAATATTTTTGACCAGCTGTACAAGTGCTCTTAGAGTAAAACGGATCATGCGAGCTGTAGCCAACCTTCATTAAACTTCGTTCCAAGGTGCTTTATGAGAAAATTCATTGTTATTTATGAAGGAAAATCCTCTAGAAGATGGTCTTATAATATTTGTTTGCAAATAAAAAACCACGCTTCTCAGAGAGCACACTCGTACACAGGTGTGCACAGCTCGGCCACCGCTCAAGTGCTCCGTTTTATTCTTGGAATCTCGGTATACGTGAGTTCCATTACTAACTTTTCAGGTCTTTTGAGCTGAGTGCCACGCCATTCAGCAAGCCCGTTAATCAATTTATGCAATTTATTTTTTTAGATTCCTGTTAACTGTACGGAATCCTGCCTGAGCGCGGACGACGGCTCATCAGAGAGAATACAACCATTGCCGAATGACACACTGTGCATCGTAAGTGCGAATTAAATCAAGGTTTTTATGCATTCTTCCTGCTGAAAGCGTGGTTACCGCAGTGTCTGGCTTCCATTTATGAGAGGTCATATTTCACGGCGTTTTTTCCACAGCTCCTCATGAGCAGAGGCTCCTATTTTGTGTTGCAATAGCAATTGTATGCACACTAGCGGCTGGTTTTTGCCATCACCGTCATATATATATATATATATATATATATATATATATATATATATATATATATATATATATATATATATATATATATATATATATATATAAGGGAAAGAAGTGTATACCTAAGGGCTTGTTTTTCCGTGTTTTAACACAATATTATTGAGATCTAACAGACAGTAATGCCAAAGAATATACAGGGGAAGTTATTAGAACCAATGAAATGTAAAAAGAAGAAAGAAGAAAGAAAAGTGGATGAAAAAATAACCAGCCGTGAGCAGGAATTGAACCTACGACCTTCGAATAACGCGTTCGATGCTCTAACCACTGAGCTATCACAGCGGCCTTCCCTCCATCCCCTTTTTTGGGTTTATATGTGAATTTAGAAGTAGGAGTGACAGTCAGCGCCATCTATAGGCCAAAGAACGAGTGTGAAAACAGTCTTATTCGCATGTTTGGCGTCACGTAGCACGTGAACCTAGTATGAGCGGGCAGCTGATTAATTGTGATTAATTATGAGCGGGCAGCTGATTAAGGCCGCTGTGATAGCTCAGTGGTTAAAGCATCGAACGCGTTATTCGAAGGTCGTAGGTTTGATTCCTGCTCACGGCTGGTTATTTTTTCATCCACTTTTCTTTCTTCTTTCTTCTTATTTACATTTCATTGGTTCTAATAACTTCCCCTGTACATTCCTTGGCATTACTGTCTGTTAAATCTCATTAATATTGTGTTAAAACACGAAAAAACGAGCCCTTAGGTATACACTTCTTTCCCTTATTTCTTTGAACGAGGGTCTCGTACTGGCAGACTTGGTGTGTTTAGGTTGTATAAGAGGGACAATTAATCAGCTGCCAACTCATAATAAGTTCACGTGCTACGTGACGCCAAACATGCGAATAAGAGTGTTTTCACACTCGTTCTTTGGCTTATAGATGGCGCTGACGGTCACTCCTACTTCTAAATTCACATATAAACCCAAGAAAGTGGATGAAGGGAAGGCCGCTGTGATAGCTCAGTGGTTAGAGCATCGAACGCATTATTCGAAGGTCGTAGGTTCGATTCCTGCTCATGGCTGGTTATTTTTTCATCCACTTTTCTTTCTTCTTTCTTCTTATTTACATTTCATTGGTTCTAATAACTTCCCTTGTACATTCCTTGGCATTACTGTCTGTTAGATCTCATTCATATATATATATATATATATATATATATATATATATATATATATATATATATATATATATTGAGCATTACTTATGCGTTTCATCTGCACATACACATACTCGAGACGATAAAGGAAAGTCTTGAGGGTACTGGACGCCTTATTACAAGTGGTGGAGAGTGCTGCCCGGTTCCTGCGTCCTCTCATGCTCTTGGGCACCCAGCGTACATCCTTGGAGCTCCGTTCATGCCCCCTCTTAAACGACCTGGGTTCCGAAATGTCGCAAGCCGACCAGCCCAGCGCGCCAGCTTCACCACCGCACCCATCGCCAAGAAACGCCTCTCACGCTGTCACCAGCCCTCAAAAAGATCCTCCACTGTTCGCAGGACTTCCGGGGGAGGACGTTGAAGACTGGCTAGAGGAGAATGACCGCGAGAGCGCCATCAACTGGGATGAGCTTGCGAAACTCCCTCTCGTTGCATTCTACTTGAGCGGCGTCGCAAAAACGTGGTTTTAGGGGCAAAGCTTTTTAAAGGGGCCCCCGTTTGTCTCTCGCAGTAGTGCGTAACATGTCTTACGCTTTGACCTGCAAGGTGGTGCCGGTGGGAGGTTTCTCCTCTGCGTTGTTGAACAATAAAAAGTTCGCAGCGTACGCGTTAACTAAAAGCCGAACTCTCCTGTCTCTCATTCCTCAATAACAGCCACTGGCATGTACATTGAGCACTATCTGACAAGAAAGGGTTGCTTCGTTATACTCGCTGTGCGTAACCTTCTTGGTTTTAGAAAGGTTTAGCAAGCGTTGGGCCCGCAGTGCCATGAATACAGTGAACTAGGAAATACCATGAATTCGAGGTGGTTAACGATGGGAAGTAAACACGAAGCGCAAGCACTAATAAAATGTGCGTGTGCCACTTCTCGTTTAGTCCTTGGAATGTCAGCTGGATGGCGGTGCTTCTATATGCGGAATATATGATGAAACGATACGAGATGGTGGTACTTGTAGTGCTGACTAGATGAACGAACTGACACACAGAGAGATGCATGGACGGACGCACGGATGGTTGCACGGACAGGATAGACGCATGGATAGACTCAGGGGCGGATGCATGAACGAACGCAGGGACGGACGCATGGATGAACGTGCGGACGCACGAACAGACACACGCACGGATGGGTGGATGGACGCACGGATGGTCACACAGACGGACGCATGGACGGAAGCAAGAACGAATGGACGGACGGATGCTTCGCCGCACTCTCCATCATTCACCCGGTGGATATGCTGCCATTTTTCGTCTCACGTCACCTCCACCAGATTTTCGCCAACCCATCAGTGAGCTCGGGTATCGCCAAGAAGAGACTCGGTGCACGTTTTCAACGCCCCGGCGAGCCTTACACTTCTTATGTTGAAAATGTTCTCACCCTTTGCCGCCGCATCGACAACTATATGGCGGAAAACGACCATGTGCGCCACCTGCTAAAAGGCGCATTGCTATTGTCGCTTTTAATCCGCTTGTGGTGCAGAATCCCCAGACCGTAGCCGATGTCACTACCTGTCAGCGCTTTGAGGAGCTTCAGACCACTCGGGTGCAACCTGATATGCTTGACTTAGTCATGTCACAACAGAGCTGCGTACATTGATCCGCTCTATCATCCGCAAGGAACTTCATGCACAAGCTTCATCGAGCCACCTTGATATTCGAACGATGCCACCTGCTACTAGTTTACGTGAGGTCGTGAGGGAGGAACTGGCCTTCATCAGCGGCACACCAATTCCGAGCTCATATCTCGTGTCCATACCAAGTTATGCTCACGTTGCTGCAACAACACCTGCGCCCCTTCAAAGCCTGACCTCATATCCTGTGGCCATTCCAACTTATGCTCGGGTCGCTGCTAGGACAACTGCACCTCAGCAAAGCCCAATGCAGCTACCAGCGCCCGAATTGCATGGTTCGCTCAACTCCTTCGCACCGCGACCTTCTTCCCAGCCTTACAATGCCCGGCGCACTACGCGGCCGACTTGTTCTATTGCGGCATCCGTGGTCATATTTCAAGGTTTTGCCGACGCCGTCAGCAAGACGAAAGACGAAGGTATGATGACTTTGAACGGGACGACTTTTACCCCACTAGACGACCCTATCGCCGACTGTATCAGAACAGCACACGTCGGTCGGCGTCTCTGCAGAACTTTGGCTCAGTTGGCAGTTCCCGTTTCTCACGTCATCGGTCACCTTCACCGATGCGGCGTTCCTCTTCTCCCCTCCGACCTATAACTTCAATTCCCGACCACCAACTGAAAAACTAAACAGTGCAGGTTTGGGAGGGAAAGCTGCATCTTTTGAACTGCGATAAACTCCTCCTGACCGCACATCAAATGTATTATTGGTGTATGTTGAAGGTATATAAAGACAGATGCACTGGTAGACACAGATGCTTCACTTCCCGTAATTCGTGCAGACTTTTGTGCCCGCTTGAGAAAAGCTAGGATGCCATACGATGGCCCTCCCCTTCGTTGTGAAGATGGAGTACCTATTCAGCCTTCAAGTGTTTGTACAGTCCGCGTTTTCATAGATGGCATCTTTCCCCACATTCAGTTCCTTGTACTTCCCTTTTGCACTCACAGAGTCATTTTAGCATGGGACTTCCTTTCTTCGGCATCAACTTTCATATCGTGTCGTCAGCGAGTAATTCGTATGTTAGCTATTCAGAGTTCATCCGATGTCAATCCATACAGCTTCCGTTTCATTGCTGCCGCTGATTGTTTCATTTCACCAGGAGATGAACAAATTCTCACAATCGCTTCGGATACTATAGTTAACGGTGACGCGTTCATGGCTCCATCAGTTCGCTCCAAACCTGCGGGGCTTACCATTGCACTTGGCCTTGTGTGTTTTAAGGACTGTAAGGCATTGGTCACCACCTTGAACCCAACTTCTTCGCCAGTGATGCTGCTCCAGGGCACGGCTGTGAGCTGCTTCGCTGACAGTGAGCCTTTTTCGTTAGTTCCCTTTCACGCAGAATCACCGCCTTTGTCTGCTACAACTGTTATCAAGGCTCCCAGTGTTTCTTTCACTGCTATCCTAAGTCCTCACCTCACTGCTGAGCAAAAGAGACCTCTTAGACCTTCTCCAAAAGCACAACAGTTCGTTTGACGTACATTCCAAAGTTCTGGCCTGCACCTTCATTGCAGAGCACAGCATCGAAACCAAAGGCAACTCAATTGTACGCCGCCGCCCATACCGTCTGTTTTCGGCGGAACGGCAAATCATTGAGGAAAACGCCGCCGACATGCTCAAACGAGATATTATTCGACCTTCATCCAGCTCTTGGTCATCTCCTGTGGTGTTCGTCCGGAAAAAAATGGCAGCATATCCACAGAGTGAATGATGGAGAGTGGGGCGAAGCATTCGTCCATCCATGCGTCCGTCTGTGTGACCATCCATGCGTCTGTTCGTGGGCCCGTCCCTGCGTTCGTGTATGCATCCGCCCCTGCGTCCGTTCATGCGTCCATCCATGCATCTGTCTGTGTGTCCGTTCGTCCATCTATTCAACACTCCAAGTCCCACCATCTCGCATCTTTTTATCATATATTCCCCATATATAACCACCGCAATTCAGTGGAAATTCCAAAAACTAAACGAGAGGTGGCACACGCACACTTTTT